ATAACAATCCAGAGGCAGATGGTGTAGCGCTTAGAATCCGAACCCCGAGTTTTTTTCGCACACTTCCTACTCGGGATACACAGGGAGAATAAAGAGAAAAAAAGGATTGCAAGGCCGACCAAGCTAAACGCGATCATTGTTGCCAATCGAGTCGATAGAAACCGAAACCAAGACAAAATACAATTTTTTTGGCGCACGTTTTCCAATTTGGTGCATAATGGCGCGAGGTATTGACTGTGGCGCAGTTTCCGAAACATGGCGCAGGATGGCGCAGACAAATGCGTCTGGCGCAAAATGGCGCAGCCGTTCCACCCCTGTCAGGACGAACAGAACGGGTTGCCAGGAGGCCCGGGACTGGCCTCGAAAAGTAGGCCCACACAGTGCTCTAATGTGCACCACCATGGGACCAAACACAAGCGAGGCTCTCCAGCTCTGCTGGCATTCAGTCTGTGGCAATGGACTTGCGCTTGTCCAGGGCCGGTGCTCAGTCTATACAGTACATATCCAGAAAGAGGAGATCGTAATTGAACTTGGCAGCTTACAGAATCGGTTTGTTTCTATTCCTTTATTTTACCCTTGGAGCCAGGGGCATTACACAGTGCAAATGTGAATGCAACCATAGGAAACAAACATGTTAAACAATGGTGTGAACAAGTTATACAATAGTGGTTAAAATGCAAGACCAAAATATATGAAACTTAAAGGACACATCGTAGGAAATCGCATACTGCCGCCGATACGCCAGATCCCACGTGGTCCGTCAAACAACCAGAGTCCAGCCTGGTTCCTTCACGCGAGCGGGAATTCCGCTCCCTTTTATTTGTTCCTAAAACACAACGCTCAAAAACACTCAATCTAAACTGCAAAGACATGCGACATTACACCGATATTCGCACGTAAAGCCCAAGCTAAACACAAAGAGGGCCCCCAGGCCTCGTCTCCCACGATTACCCGAGATCCAATCGCACACACTTGCCTGTTCTCGGCACCGCCCAGTCCCCAGAGGCCCTTCTCCCCCCGGTCCCCCGTCAATATATCGACGGGCGAGGAGGTTCCTCCTCGCCCGCCCTGGGGCGCCTGTGATGCACTCTAAAGGCACTCTAAAAATCAAACTTTTATCTGTTTACTTCGCTCACCTTCTGTGATGTGACACGCCATCACATTCTACTCAGTTTCACCTTGTGTTGCACCGCAGCCGACGATACGAGCCACCGGAGCCAATCCAACTCTTTGTCGCTGCCAGATGATACTGTGCTCCACGTGCCGTTGCGCCCAACGGACAGGCCACGTGACACACCTTCGGCACTGGATTGGCTCCGATGGCTCGCAGCATTCAGAGTAAAGTGCGGTATTGCATTTTGTGCTCTAGTAACTCACCACTGCCGAGCTGCTACGCCAGAAGCACTCAGCAGAACCCACCAACTCTGCCGCCCCTACGCTCCGTTCACCCCTACGCTGACAGGGCGGTAGGAGCCATGTGGTTGGTGGGCCAAGCTTTTATTGCCTCATGTCCGACCTGCACATCAGTATGAGAAAGGGGCATGATAAGTAATGCAAGACTGACAATCAACTGGTTCACCGAGCATGTAGCCTCCAGTGCCCTGTCAGTTAAGGGGTGAATGAAGTTGGTATATAACAGCCGTCTACTGTCCCAACAGAGCCGCATTTGTGTCTACTCGCACCTTTGAGAAAATTGGTCCTGCCATAACCCACACCTCGTTGAGGTAGAAAACTTTCGGGCCCTTTATTTCCTGTGTTGTACAATACCCCAAGAGGTACTATCAGAAACAATACGACCGTGAACGCGCCTCCGCTTGTCACCACGGAGGCGCGTTCACGCTCATATTGTTTTCGATAGTACCTCTGTTGAAACGGGACTATCTTGACCCGCTCGGTCAGAAGCGAGGCCCCTTGCGGCCATTCAGCGCCGTCTACTCATTCATAGATGTTGCTCCTTTCGACAAAATGTCTGTGGCGACAGCTGGAGCTTGTGAAAAAGCGGACACCATAGCTCTTCCCAAAGCACCCTGTTCTTCCTCAAGAGCGGCTAGTTCATCCAGGAGCAGTGCAATGGTGCTTGGCGGTCTGTGATCGCAAACCACTGGACATAGCCCCACCAACGGCTCCCCCTCCCCCCCAACTGACGTCACTCAGGTGACAAGCATTTCACTCGCATGACGTGACTCCAAGCCATACTCACTATGGCTGGCGACAACCCATAAAAGGCATGCGCTGGCCCTTTGACCCACGCGGAGTGCGGTGCAGGAAGTGGAACGGCATCGGTGACCCAGTCGCTACAGTTACCCAGAACTGTTTTACTGCTGTCTCGGCGAAGGTGCAGGCCCGCTGTTTGATGCACATAGGTAGAAGCCATCAGCCGCAAGCATCGGACACCTGGGGTGGAAAATTTTGCACCCAACAAAACAATAACCATAAGAAGAGTGGTCTAGCCGGTGAATTGCAGAAACATAAAAAGCAGGCACCTAAAGAAGTATTTCTGTTACCCTGTCTTGCAAAAACACAAAAAGCATGCACATATAGAAGTATTTCTGTTACCTCGCCTCATGCTCAAGCATTATTTTGGATAGTATACATCAATAATGCCTGTCTCGCAGTGGCTTTGTGAACAAAATGTAGTAGAAAATACAACCAGTTGAATACCAAAGGAGAAGTAGAACAGAGAGGCACTTATTTGTTGTCACTTTAACAGATGCACATTATGGAAGAGCACAACTCTTCGCGATTAACCTGTAGCAGAATCGCGTAGCAGTTCTGCTGCAGGTGTGAATGTACCACGAGGCAGAATACAGTATTTGTGCAGAAAACACCATCGCAGGCCTACCAGGATGAACAGTAACATTATTACCCGCCACAAATTCGACGCGCCGGGAGGGCCATTCGCGAAGCCTGATCTGTTTGTAAATCCCGTCTTTCGACAGAACGCTTTTGTGACTGCACGAGCTCGTCAAAAGCCGACATTCCCAACGCGCTTGGTCCTTCTTTAAGTGCGATCACTGAATGCAAATGCGGCGCAGGAGGCACCCGGGAGCCACATGGCACTCCCGTTGATTATCTCTATTATCTCCTTCTTTGTCCCCGACGCTACGTGAGGTAGCCAAGCGCTATCAAATTCCACCACAGCGGTGCCGAATCGACGATCGAACGCCGCCACCAGTAGGTAAATTCCACTCACCTTTTACGTTCCGAACAAGCGTCCCACGGGCATCGATGTGGCGAGACGGGGCCCGCTAGCTTGCATGAATGCGCTGTGGACACTGTGGACTTCACTTCACTGCCGACGCTCGTTCCCAAGCATTGAATATCACGACCAACTCCACTTAGCAATACCGCGGCACATAACACGACAACGTATAAAACAAGAAAGACCGTTGGAACCGACGCGACCGCTCCGAAAAGCGCCCAACAAACACGTGGAGGAACTGGAGGAACTCTCTGGGTCCCAGAGGGTTCCTCCAAGTGTTTGTTGGGCGCTTTTCGTTTTGTTTTGTTTTGTTTTGTTTTTACTTTCGGTTCCTCCCAGAGTCTGGGAGGAACCAAAAGTAAAAACAAAACAAAAATATACGTACGCGCACAAAAGATAAAATTAAAAAACAAACAAAACAAAAACTTACGTCACTTCTGATTTGTGTTTTGCTTGTTTTTGCTTTTTCTCTCAGCCAATAGGCGTTGCAACCTTACTGCGGCGAAACGCTCGTGAATAACGATCAGTGAAAAGAGTGAACAAGAAAGTTACGATAACAAGCTTAAATGCTAGTCATACCTTCAAACTAACTGCATTGTTATTTAACATTATAAATTATATGAATCATTTCTATTTAAAACAAAATAACGTCTGCCACACCCGCTGGGAGCGCGGCAATCGGAAAAAGTTGGTCAGACCGGACTTACGTCATAAATATACGCGGCCGGACGGAAGTTGCCGAGAGCTTCATCCCCCTCGAGGCACTGCAAGCGGGCGCATTACACTATTTTGTTTACCTGTCACTGGTCGTGGGAGGCAGTTGTGGTGCGTATTTATGGTTTTATTTATGTCGGAAACCCCTTTATTAAATACCTGACCGCCGCGAGACACTGCTATTAAACGCGTCGCTGCTACGCGTATTGGTCACGCCAACGTAGCCTACAGCAGAGCGTTTGGACTGCAAATCGCTTGGGCGTACCTAGGAAGGCCCTTTCGACAGCCTGCGTGCGTGCTCGTTCGTGGGCTTGTTCACGCATCAATTTGAAGGTGTTGATTCGTGCGTTTTTGGTCTTTTTGCGGATGTTGCAGAAGAGCAAACGCCGAAGCTGTAGGCACGGTTGCGTGCCGGACTGTCGCCACCCTGGAAGCTTAGCAGAGCTCCGCAGGTTTGCGTCGAAACCGTGGAAAAATACGACGCCGTCGGAGATGGGAAATGAGTAAATGCATGGTAAATGCCATGAAGCGTGTAAAATAAGCTTTCCTTTAAATTCGACGCTTTTTTTTTTTTTTGAGAATTAGATTAGTCTTTTGACACTCTCATTGCTCTCTGCTCCGCGGATACAACTTGATCGAACGACGTTTTGTGGACGTTTGATCGTAGTTACCGAAAATCGAAGTCTGCGTTCTCTCCGCTTCGCCGATTGCAGAACGGACTGTCGTTTGCGCCTTTAGCATGATCGCATAGCTACCCAAGATGATTGCTCTATTTCGACTCGTGTCTATGCGATCTTAACTGCATCCCTGCTGCGGGAAAAGTCTGCCCAAGAAAAAAAAGTACTTACCCCTCGAGAAAAGGTTATCCATGCGGCATTTATTTCTGTTCTATGTAAAAGTGAACAGCATATTCAATCGACGAGAACCAGCATCAGCTTGCGCCGAGCAACTACGTACGACACCGTCCAAACTACAGCCAGCTTGCACGAAAAACACATTCCTAGGACACAATAATCGTCTTCAACACGGCGACGAGGGGACTAGAGACAGGCTGATCACCAAAATGAATGCGGGAAGTGTGTTGGAAGAGTTCACTTGGAAAAAAAGGTGGGTAAGAATGAGACGGAGGGGGAGGGGCGTTTTTAGTTCCGCTTTTGCAGTACGCTTTTGTAGAGGAGGGAAGCTCGATTTTGGGGGGGGGGGGGGGGGGGGGGGGGGGGAAGGGAAGGGAAGGGAAGTCTTCGCTTTTGTTATCTTGAGGCGCGCGCAAAACAACGCAAAAAAATACTATCCTTGTTTATTTGTTTTTACTTATATTTGGCCGTAATATTATGACGTTCAATTTTGTTCTGCTAGCTCCCGTTTCGGGTTGTCTCTACCTATCGAGGAAGGCACCTACTAAAACTCCCTAATGCTAGAATGACACTACCGCACACGGATGCACATTTATATATTTAACGTTTGATAGGTTCTCAAAACAGTCGGTAGTCTAACGCACGACAACAGAACTCTCGGGAGTTGGTAATAACGTAATCTCGCAAGGATATGCCGGCGGCGCTGCCAATTTTAGCCGTCCCAGTATTGCCTCATTTGGCCACGATGGCGCTCTCTGGAACCCTGCCCAGAGCCTATACGGCATGGCGTTTCATGTTTGGTGCGCAACAGTGTCAAAGCCACGACCGGGTCAAAGCCACTGGTGCGAGCGAGCGCGTTGCTTCACATAGCGCATCATTTGTGCGGGAATAAGTTCAAATGAACCGCAAGGTCAAGCCACATGCTCATGCCAACAGCTTTGACAGCGCTGTACACAAAGTATGAAACGGAGTTTTAAGTACCTTCGTTAAGCAGTGTTTGTTGTGTATTTTTCTTTTGTTTATATATTCTTATATGTGGGTACCTCCAGTGAAGTGTGTTGGCGGCCTAAAAGCCCCACAGGAGGCACTCACTTGATCGAATGGCGTTTTAGCGAACGCCCACGTTCATTTGTCCACGCAAAGCATCTTAGGATACCATTGGCAACAGTTTTGGTTTAGATTTTCTAGCCTCACTTCGCGACTTCCCGTTACAATTAAACGCTTGCATTTTCGAATACTTTCCTTAGATCTGTAATACTGTTGCTGAGCCTGTTACCTACCAATACGGATAGAATGCTGGCTTGGCTCCCTCTTGACATACTCTTGCTTCCTATTGCTAAGATTAGGCAGGTCCTTACAGCCGCTGGAGGTCCGTCTTAACGGGGGCTCTCACGAAGATGGATGGTTGCAATGCAAGTGAGCACTGACTTCATTTTCATGCAGTGCTGCGATTCATTTCTTTGTCAACGGGCCAATCGAAACCGAAACTGCGCCTCTCCTCTCGATGGCCAAAGAGGTACCATTATGCAGTGCACGCAGTGTTACTTACGTGCAGGCCTTTTTGGAAGTAGTCTATTCTGGATCTAGCCATTTGCCTCTTTGGTCCCTTCCACCACCTCTGCTGGAGTGCACTGTTAACTGTATGTCCTCCCCCTGCTTACGCGTCTCTTCCGCCACCAGACCTCCAGTCGCCGTTTTGTTACTTTTGGCGCCGAGCGAGAGCTCACCTGTCGTTTCTCTTGCTTGCTTCTGCTTCAAGAACCAATCTATTCAGTGGTGGTCTATTTACATATTATTTACAGGAGAAGACTGCCGAGATCGGGGGTGAACTACGAGCTCTGCGAACATGTCGCTAGCTCAATCAGGAACAGTGCGTGAGGCGTGGCCCGTGCTGAGGCCGCGCGTCTTGCCTATTGCAAAATGAAGACAACGAAGTCCCACCGTAACACTTCCCCCTTCTCGATAAAACTAATCAGTTTCTCGAAAACGCACTGGTTTGTTTGTAACGCGCTTGGGGCGTGTTCTGGGTAGAGGAACCGGAACAGACGAGGAGGATGGTCCAGGAGAACTTTCTGATGTCGGTTCAGTATTTGGCATAACAGAGCCCTGTCCCTTGATGATCGGTGTAGGCTCTGGAAGTGAAAACGCACCAGATGTGTTCGCTGTTGAGAATTCCGTCTCTGAAGATGCCTGGCCTGAGGCACATACACCTTTTTCTTCATCGGGACCCAAGTCGAAAAGTGGATAACTTGAAATTCGAGACGATGTTGAACTGCATTGTTCCGAATGTTGGGCTAACCGACTTCGCATGTCGTCGATGTGTCTTCTTTGTATTCTTCCATCTGAAGTCGTTACTTCAAATGATCGGGAACCAACCTGACGGAGCACCTTAGCTTCTATCCATTTCGGTTGTCCCGCGAATCCCTTAATAAAGACGGCTTGTGAATTGCTGAACTTAGCGTCTTTGTAGCCTTCTTCACCTTCCTTACCCCGCGGATGAATATAATCCAATGGGCAAAGCAATTGTCGTCCGAACATCAACTCTGCTGGTGTTTTCCCAGTTGTTGAGCTTGGTGTTGTATGTTGCTTATACAAGAACCGTGCCAATCGGCAGTTCAGACTTCCTTCTGAAAGTTTGCGGAGCGACTCCTTTGTTTCCCGAACCATTCGTTCGGCTTGGCCGTTGGTTGCCGGGTGATAGGGGGCGCTTGTGATTTGCCGGATGTTATTGGCTTGCAGGACTTGATTGGTGTCCTTGGCTAAAAATGGCGTGCCATTGTCGCTGCAGACGACTTTCGGGATGCCAAATGTGGCAAACATGGATCGCAGGGCGTCAATGACGGTGGCAGGAGTTGCTGACGCGCAGATGTGGACTTGCAACCATTTGGAATACGCGTCAACAACTATCAGAAGCATTTTTCCTTCAAAAGGACCGGCGAAGTCCATGTGAAGTAGACTCCATGGCTCCTGAGGGCGTTCCCAAGTTGGACTTGGTGCTGGAACAGGAGCACATACTTGTTACTGACACTTTGAGCAGAGTTGGACGCACCTGTCGATTTCTTTGTCGAGGTCAGGCCACCAAAGATGACTTCGTGCACAGCGTTTCATGGCTGTTACTCCTGGATGGTTTGCATGCAGGAGTTTCATGGCTGCTGGCTGTGCCTCCTTCGGAATAACCACACGTGATCCCCATAAGACGCATCCCTTGTGGGTCGATAGCTCGGTAAATTGCGTCATATAGCTTGCGAACTGTTTTCCGGTCAAGCATTTGGAGGCTCCGGACTGGACGGCTTGGTAGACCTTCGCCAGGAGGGGGTCCTTTGCCGTAAGACAGGCTATGTTTTTTGCTGAGAGAGATGGTGTCTCGAGCGCCTCAATCATCAGGATGTCTGCTGGACCGTGTGGTTCGTCCACGTTGCTGGGCAGTGGAAGACGGCTCAGGGCATCCGCATTTTGATGGAGTGCACCGGGTCGGTAAACCAGGTTATAGTCATAGTTTTGGAGATGCAGGCACCAGCGTAGCATCCTCGGGGACAGTACCAGTGGCATCTGCCTGTCTGAGTTGAGGATGCCTAGCAGGGGCTTGTGGTCAGTGTATATTGTGACGGACCTTCCAGCAATATACTGATGAAAGTGTTTAACTCCGAACACTATGGCCAACCCTTCTTTGTCAAGCTGGGCATAGTTCCTTTCACTCTTACCGAGCGTTCTAGACCCGTAAGCAATGGGAGCTTCGCGGCCTTGGTTGTCTAGCTGGGCAAGTACGGCTCCTACACTGTAGGGAGAGGCATCGCATGACAAGAAGAGCGGCTTATCAGTATTGTAGTGCGCCAGGACCTCTGCTGACGAGAGCAGGTCCTTCAGCGCTTGGTAGTCCTTCTTATGTCGGGACTCCCATTTCCATGGCACATTTTTGTCGAGCAAGCGATGCAAGCTTTCGGCCACAGTTGCTCGATGTCTGAGAAACCGATTGTGGAAGGCATCAATGCCCCGACGCATGTCTATAGTTCCGACTTGTCTTTTGGCTCTGGCGCTTCTACAATCGCCTTGACTTTTTCTTGTGTCGGCCGGATGCCTGCAGCATCAACTCGGTATCCGAGGAATTCAACCTCCGACATGTCGAAATGGCACTTTTCTTTCTTGACCTTGAGGTTAGCTTGACTCAAACGTCGTAGAACTGCTTCGAGTCGCTCTAAGTGCTGGTCCTTGGTGGAGCCAGTGATGAGGATGTCGTCAAGGTATGTGGCGACGCCCGGTAGCCCAGCAAGACATACGTCCATAAATTTTTGAAAGATAGCCGGGGCTACAGATACGCCGAAGGGTAAACGCTTGACGCGGTACAGTCCCTTGATCGTATTGCTGCACAATACCTCAGACGTAGCTTCATCGAGTCGAAGCTGCTGGTAGGCTTGCGCCAAGTCAATCTTTGAAAAGTGCTTTCCTCCACTGATTGTGGTAAGGAGCTCTGGTACAGTCGGCAGTGGGTAGGTCCCAGGCTTGAGAGATGCGTTGACTGTGCTACGATAATCACCGCAAAGTCTTAGCGATCCATCCTTCTTCCTCACTACCACTACTGGAGTTGCCCACTGAGAAGATAGGACAGGTTCTATTATTCCTTGTTCTTCCAAGCGATCCAGCTCCTTCAGCACAGAATCCCGGATAGCGAATGGAACTGGGCGGCACTTCAGGAACTTGGGTGGTGCGTCCGGCTGCATTGGAATAGATATGGGTGACCCTTTGTGACCGTTCTGTAGTTCAGTGAAAACATCTTGGTATCTATCCAAGACGTTCCGCAGTGAGGTGGAGGTCACGGCGTCCACTCCAGAAAGGGAAATTCCCAACGGTGCAAACCAGTCCCTGCCGAGGAGACTTGCTCCTTGTCCTTTTACAACACGCAGAGTGAGTTGGACTGGCTACTTTCTTGCGGCGGTTGTTTTCAGGACGTTTACCTGAATTTTTCCGAGAACTGGCAGCCTTTGCCCTGACCAGGTGTACAGTTGCTTCTCTTCAGACTGAAGTTTCGCTGTTCCTTTAGACCATAGTCTGCGAAAGGTTACTTCACTGATGAGCGTGATTGCAGCTCCCGAGTCAACTTCCATTTGCAAAGTTTTACCGTCGATGGTGAGGGTAATCTGAAAGTGGGGTCGACTTGGTGATTCCTCATACGTTTTGTAGAGGGTGTAAAGTTCTGCATCATGGTCAGCACTCGACTCACTCACTTGATGAGTCTTCTTGCTTTCTCCTCGTCTTTTC